ATATTAATCCCCCCCATGCCCGAAGCTGTGAAGGTGAAAGCCTTAATAGACTCTGGCTGCCTCATTAGCCCAACACTGAATCTGGGCATCCCATCCCTCATCTCATTTGGCCAGCTAGATGGATCCATAGCAGGGGGGGTGCCAGCTACCCTAGCCACTCTGCCAATACACCTCTCCCTGGGCAACCATGAAGAGGACTTAACGTTTGTGGTGACCCCAGGTATGGAATGCCCAATGATTCTAGGGATGGAATGGTTGAAAAAATGGAACCCCTGGGTAAATTGGAGGACGACAGAAATCAAATTCCCGAAGGGGGACCCTATGGACTTAAAACCCCAAGGGAGGCTACCAGAATCAAGAATAGAAAAAGCATCCATAGGAGAGGAAAAAAGATTAACAGAAATACCAGAGGAATATAGGGACCTTGCTGAAGTCTTCAGTGAGGAGAGGGCGAATGAGCTTCCCCCCCACCGACCCACAGACTGTACCATTGAATTCAAGCCTGGGGCAAAACTCCCGAAACCCAGATTATACTCCATGAGCCCAAAGGAGAAGGAGGAAATGGAAAGATTTATAAAAAAAAACCTGGAGAGAGGTTTCATTGAACCAGCTAAGCCTAAAGTGGCTGCCCCGGTCCTTTTTAGAGAGAAGAAGGATGGCTCTTTACGTTTATGCGTGGATTATAGGGCCCTGAACACAATCAGTGAAAGCAACCTATACCCGCTGCCCCTCATGAAAGACATGCTGTCACACCTATCGAAAGGGAAAATTTTTTCTAAACTAGACTTAAGGGAAGCTTACTATCGCGTGAGAATCAAGGAAGGGGACGAATGGAAGACTGCATTTAACTGCCCCATGGGGTGCTATCAATTCAAAGTCTTGCCATTTGGATTACAAGGGGGCCCTGCAGTCTTTATGCAATTAATCAATGACGTTCTAAGGGAGCACCTGTTTAAGGGGGTCCTTGTTTACTTGGACGACATTCTTATCTTTACCGAAACAAAAGAAGAACACGTCAAACTTGTCAGAGCGGTTTTAAAGAAGCTGCGAGCCGCTCACCTATATGCCAAACTCTCAAAATGCGAATTCCACCAGGAAAGGATAGACTACCTAGGCTATCGCATATCCCCACAGGGCATTGAAATGGACCCAGAGAAGGTCAGAGCAGTATTAGAATGGGCACCACCCCGCACAAGAAAGCAACTACAAAGTTTCCTGGGCTTTGCAAATTTTTACCGCCAATTCATCCCCTCATTTGCACAGATAGCCTTGCCCCTCACAACTTACTAAAAACGAAGGGAACATCCTCAGTAAAACCTAGCCAGCCACTAACATGGACAATGGAGTGCCAAGCAGCGTTTGAGAGACTAAAGAGACTTTTTTCTGCCGAACCAGTACTAAGGCACCCAGATATGGACAAGCCCTTCATAATACAGGCAGATGCAAGTGATGTGGCAGTGGGGGCTGTGCTATTACAAGAAAATGATGATGCAGTATTGCAACCCTGTGCATATACATCTAAGAAACTCACGGAAACAGAACAGCGCTGGCCCGTATGGGAGAAGGAGGCTTATGGGATACGTTGGGCATTACTCACGTGGCGACAGTTCCTGGAAGGCAACAAAATCCCCTTCCAGGTATGGACTGATCACAAAAATTTAGAAGCCCTGAAAACTTCCAGGAAACTCAATCCCAAACAAGCCCGCTGGTCCCAGCATTTTCACCAATTCCAATTTAAGCTCAAACATTTACCAGGAAGAAAGAACTTCCTGGCAGATGCACTATCTCGCATGCCCCAATATAACAGCGCACGAACCACAGACTCTAGACCAATAATGGCAGAATCACAACTGGCAGCGCCAGTAACCACAAGAACCCAAGCCAAAATAAAACCACAACTGGACAGCCAAACTGGGATTGAATTCAGAAAAAGTTTGGAAACAGATGATTGGTTCCAGAAAAACAAACATGTGTGCACAATGAGAGACGGATTGCCTTGGGTAGGGGAAAAGTTATATATACCAACAACTCAAAGACTAACTTTCATGCAACTTTGCCATGACACAAAATCAGCAGGGCATTTTGGATTTGTAAAAACTTTACACTTAATTAAACGGCAATTTTGGTGGCCATCAATAAAAAAGGACATAGAAAGTTATGTTGCCAGCTGCCCAACCTGTGCATCAGCAAAGAGGTTGCAAGGGAAATCGCCAGGGCTGTTACAACCAGTGGCAAGTCCCTCAGCCCCCTGGAGGGAAATAGCCATGGATTTTATAGTGGAATTGCCTGAAAGCAATGGGAATACTGTTATCTGGACAGTCACGGACCTATTTTCCAAACAGGTGCACTTTATCCCTTGCCAAAAAATTCCCACTGCAAAGGCCTTAGCAAAACTTTTCATCCAGCACATTTACAGATTGCACGGGGCACCCCAACGCATCATCTCTGATAGGGGAGTGCAATTTACGTCTGCATTTTGGAAGGAATTTTTATCCCTCTTAGGGACCACTCAGGGATTGACATCTAGCCACCACCCTCAAGGAGATGGACAAGCGGAACGGTGCCAGTCGGTACTTGAGCAATATTTGAGATGTTTTTTAAATTTCCAACAGAGTGATTGGACGGACTTACTTCCTTTTGCAGAAGTTGCCTACAATAATGCAGTCCACTCCAGCACAGGCTACACTCCTTTTCAAATAGCCAACGGCCAAAGTTTCAACCCTATGCCAGAGTTAACCCCAAAAGAACCAACGATCCCTTCACTGAAAGAATGGATGGAAAACCTACAAAACACCTGGCCAATAGTCAGAAAATCACTAGATGAAGCTAGGCGGGCATACAAAGCACAAGCCGATAAAAAAAGGGTTGAGCCTACACCATTCATTATAGGAGAAATGGTGTACTTATCTACAAAATACCTAAAGTCCCTACAGCCCTGTAAAAAACTTGGACCAAAATATATAGGACCTTTTCCAATTAAAAGGATCATAAATCCAGTAACAGTAGAATTAGAATTACCCAAAAACCTCAGGCAAATACACCCAGTTTTTCATTGCAGCTTGCTGAAAAGAGAGCATCAGTCACCTCTACGGCCAAAAATCCCCCCCCCACCACCTCCAATCATGGTGGAGGGGGAACAACACTTCGAAATAAAAGAGATCCTTGACTCTAGGAGATATCATGGAACAACTCAGTACCTAGTTGCCTGGAAACACCTCCCTGCCTCACAAAATGAGTGGGTCCATAAACGTCACGTCAGAGCTCCGAAGCTATTGAAGAAGTTTCACACAGAGTATCCTAACAAGCCTAACTAAATTCTTTACTTGTGTTTTCTTTCAGGTGGATCTCTCTTATTGTTAAGAGGGGCCGGATGTCAGAATCCAATTATATTTCATCTTTAATTATCAACCATAGAAACTCCCAATTCTGCCTTCTCTGGATTCTGCCATAAGAGGGAGAAAAGGGGGAGAGCAAAGGGGTTTTATGGCCCTCACTTCCTTCAGCACACTTCAAAGGACTGAATGTGTGTTTATTGTGGCCTCTAAGCGTTAACATATCAAAGAAGAGTAATTGCCTTTCATGTAGTTATCTGAAGTCTCCATCCAGACAGAAGAAGAAAGGGGATGGAATTGTGATACTTGAAACTATCACTGGAAGGGGGGTTGATTGGGTGGGACTACTGGGGAACCCCTTAAAACCTTGAATGGGAGAGCTTGAACCCCAAGTCCTGTCTAGCATGCCTGCAACCATTTTCTCTTAATAAAGGATTCCTGTTGGAAGAGCTATTCCAAGAGTTCTGTCTTCTTAAGATGCAAAGTGGGGTGGGTCCTTACACAGGCATAAGGAAGAGGGAGTTTTCCATGCTTCTTATTGGTAATTAATGTAGCTTTCAGTAACAAAGAATGTAGACACTAAAGACATTGCAGCTGATATTATTTCAGATTCCTAGTTTTAGATCTACTGATTATGTAGATGACATTGGAAAAGACAAATGGCATTACAAGTTGTTGATATCAGGATTAGGAGAAACTAACTGAAGTATGGTATTTGTTGTGACAACAGTAATAATTTCACCTTACACTGATTTTGCAGGTGCATTTAAAATAAACAGTCCACTTCAGTGTATGGGTGCAGCCCACACACATATATCACTAGCATGGCTGCTGGTCAGAAATGGTGTGAGTTCTATCTTAATACATCTGGATGGATTAAATGTGCTCATCTAAATCTATTCAGTGGTTATTCCATCTTTTTTCCTTAATCAACTTTTTTTCAATGAAAAAACAAAACAAAAACCCCTTAAAAATGCACTAGAAGCTGGGTTATGAATGTGGCCTCCTACAGCTTCCATTAAATTGCATGAACAAGCAGACATATATCAACAGCCCTGTATGAATATATCTCCTGTATCACATGGAAATGTCTTCACAGTTAATAGCTCCTGATCAGAGCCAGAAGCTGGGTACAGTGGCTAATCCCAGAGGCAAAGAGATGAAAGAGCCCACATGAGATGGGCAGTTTTAACAATGAGATAGAGCAGAAGTCCATGTGGCTGTATTGGTTAAGACAGTGTTTCTCAACTCTGGCAACTTCCTTAGTGTGATGGCTGGGGAATTCTGGGAGTTGAAGTCCACATATCTTTTAAGTTGCCACGGTTGAGAAACACTGGGTTAAAGAAGTGGACTGTGTCTTGGGAAGATGCAGCTCCAATCCCCCTGTGAAGTTCTAAATTACTTTTAGGCTGCTCGTTATTTCTCAATTCTATAGAGTTTCTGAGGATAAAATGAGAGCTAATATACCTTTCTACTAAGCATTACCCTGAGAAAAGGGAAGATCTAAAAGAACAGAAATGTGAATGTTTCACACTATTCATGGCTGGTTTCCCTACTAGGAGAAGCACTGTGGCCCACCTAGCTTTTGATGCCATTTTCTTATTCAAAGAACTCAATAATTGTGGATGCTGCCTTGGCATAATTCACAAGACACCTTAGAAAAGCAGATACATAAGGTATTCATTTATTGTTACATTTTCAACTAATGGAAACTTACAGAGATTCTTCTTTAAAGTCCCTGTTGGGTGGCTCAACACAAAGCTGATGCAGTCAGACCTTATACAGAGAACCAAAGACAATGAGGATGGGGAACCCAAATCAATGGCTGTTTCCTTCATTCAGAGTCTTGGCCAAGCACCCCCCTTGGCTGCTCCAATGTAGCTTATCAAGTGTGAACTGGGGAGGGAGGACATATATTTTCGGCAAGAGTCTGCTTCAGAAACAACCTTCCCCTCCAGAAGTAGTGAAGTAGCTTTCACAATGCACCACAATATCTGAGCCAGCAAATACTTCTATGCCAGTAAAATGCTGGGTGTCAAGTGTGCTTTTAGAATGCAGAACCCTCCTGGGAATCAAAAAATATATTTCACTCACTTACAGGAAAAAAGGAACAAACCACAAATTGTATCCAAACTTCTGGATGTGAAGGGTGAACGATCCCCACTTCCACAGCCATTTGTCAGAGACTATCTTGGGAACAGTAAGGCAGTTTAACTAGGCCAGCAGACTTTTTTAATTTTATAGCTCAAATCTGTTTCTACTGCATTTTTACAGGATTTGTGGTACAAAAAGAATTCAACTTTGCCCCCAGGCCATCCTGACTGTTAAATAAAAAGGAAAGAAATTTGTTTCCAACTGAAACACTCCTGTCAATACTGTGGTCTTCTTCTGAGATCCCTCATTCATTTTATGAAAGAAATCCAAATACCTTGAATAGCAACATTACAAGTAGGGGGGGAATAAAAAAAAAATCTATGGCCACTTCTAATACTGTTCTCAAAAATAGCAAAATATTTTATCCCTTGGACAATCATAGACACGGTGTATCACTTAGAAGGAGAAAATAAAAGTCTATGCTTCAAGATAAGTTCCTTTGGGGGAATAGATATGAGGAGACCTATTGATGTTTGGCAGATCTTCTCTAATAACCCTTTATTGCTGCACTGTGAAAATATATGCTCTCTGTGAAGCATTGCAAAAAAATAATAATTATCCAACAGATGACCTCAAGGACACTCCACAGCTTCAGAGGCAGACTTTTTTTTTCTCTTAGAAGAGTCTCTTTTTTTTCTTTTTGATTTCTGTCTTTTCCCAGAGTTACTTCTTGGTTGTTTTGCGGATCAATGCCATTCTCTGAAAAGGGGGAAAAAAAGACAGTATGAACATGGATTTCTTGATATAATGGAAAGTGTGGATGGTCTTGGGGGATGAGGGAAAGAGATGCGTGGATGACTTCTATTAGACTTGGTAAGTTAAATTAGGAATATGATTAATGGAACTCAAACAGGTAATTTACAATTCACCCAAGAATCCATCCCTCCAGAATATCAGTAGCTATTGAGTATTCAAGTTTGATTGAGGCTCCAATTAAAGAGGTTCATCTCCTTTCCGCCCAGTTTAAACTACTCCCAAGGCATATCATTCCATATCTCCAAAATTGCCCTTTGAGTTTGGAGGAAAGATTCTGTTTATTTACCTATTCCCTTTTAGACCAAAATAGTAATTTCAGGGTAGGCAGTCCTGGTTCAGAACAACATTCCCCACAATTTTTTTTTAAATAGAACTGCAATGAAGTATTAAGTGGGAAAAAAGAGTGTAGCTCAGAAGATGTTATTATTTATTCTATGGTTAAATCATATACACAATTAAGAAAAGGGATTCAGGCATGCATCGTGATTTTTTTTAAAAAAAAGCTAAGGTGGAATTTGAACAGTAGAAATTGGACATGAAACCTCAATTTGTTAGCAAGCTGATTTTTCATTTGAGATATTCCCTTTTCTTGCTGTTTGTCATTGGTTTCATGGAGCAGAAACCATCTGCTTCACATGGCATCATTTTACTTAGGTGTGAATTATTTGGGGGGGGGAGGGGAAGAGATCCTTACCTGTTTGTGAGCTTCTGTAGTGCAGGCTTTTTTGTACGGCCTGATTTCTTCAGAGCCAAAACCTGGGATCCACATATTCCACTGACGTTCTGGGGGCAGCAACAGCATCAGTGTGGTTTGTAGTTGAAGAAAGAAAATCATAAGCAGAAGACAATTTAAACAAGTGATAAACAGCCATGAGAAGAAGGTTCAATCATTTAGAAAGCAATGAATTAATATTCTAGTATGCAAAATTATATCAATGAGAAACAAGCAAAATGGATGCCTTTGCAAGAATCAGACTTCCCAGGGGTCCCTTTTTATATTCTTTTTGACAAACCCATGAGGCACCTAATAAAAAAAAATACTTTGAGTTCTTAAGTCTGCCCAATATGATTTTTGCAATCTGGGCTGACAGATGACTGACAGGAGATAGGTTTAAATGCAAAGACAGGAAAAGTGAACCATGATGCCATTTATACTTAACAGTAACAATCTGGAAATCACTTTTTCAGAAGGATGAAGCCTCATTTGTGATTCCTTTTCATGCCTTGCCCCAATGGGACTGTAGCAATCACCGGAAGGAAAGGTGCACCTATGCAAAAGTCACCACCCCACATTACCCTTTAAAACAGTGCTTACTAACCTTAGCCATTTTAAGATGTGTGGACTGGCTGGGGTATACTGGGAATTGAAGTCCACACATTTTAAAGTGGCTAAGGTTTGGAAATACTGCTTTAAAACATGACAGCAGTGCAAGAGTCACAGAATTGAAACTGCCAAGCTGCTGATTGCAAGCTTTTCCATTCCACTGTCCTCCAGAGGTTATAGGCTATCACATCCACTGCACTTGTCTCATGGAAGCTGCATCCCACAAGTGGGGATGGGGTGGGATACTAGAGAAAACTTCTAGGTTTAACCTGGGAGCTCCACATAGCATTTGTCACTATGTTTCAGATAGTGACTCACTGGAGGAGCAAGGAAGAAAAAACAAGAAAAGAATGACCAGTAGCAAGATGGACAAACTCAGCTAAGGTGGTAATAAATGCACCAGTGGAAGATTTGACAGAACTGTTTAGGGACAGATTAAGGAGAAAATCTTTCTATATAGTCACTAGGTGTCAAAAATAACTTGATGGCACAGTATCAACATAAGTGGAGGGGAAAGTGATTGTTTCTGTAATGTAGCCTAGGTTATGTAGCTCTGCAGGTTATGGACAAAACAATCCAAAACAACTAATAAGTTAGCTGTCAGCTATCATGAAATAGATACATTTATATCTTTACACTGACCAAGATGCAGCTGGACATCCTTTACTTCCAAAGTGTTAGACTTGCGATGCCGTGCAAGCTGGCAGGCAGCGGTCACCACGCTTTCAATGAAGTCATCAGCAATCTGCAGCAACATCTGTCAAAATGGAATTCAGCATCAGCAAGAATGGCTGCTGCTGTTTCAGAAGGTTATTCTTCTGATAATTCAAGGTACTGACAGAGCATTCTTTGGACACACACACCCCCAGTGAAAAATTGAAAAGAATAAAATGGCACATTTTAACCAAAGAGAGGTTTAGATGTTTGTGATGCTCATTTCAGCTAAGACCAACCTCCTCTACATCTTCATCCAGCTGTTCATTTGGATCCACTTCTCTAACCAGATCCTGCAGTTTCTTCTTTGTTAATATCTATAGAAAATATTAGCATATTTTACCAGGTTCATCCTGCTATAGTCACCTCTGTGCAATTAAAATCAAAAGATCTTGCTTAGAAGCACTTCCAGTCAGCAACATATACGATAGTGCTGCTAAGTGGATCCTCTAAAGCAGAGGTGGGGAACTATGGCCCCTTTATGACTTGTGGACTTCAACTCCCAGGAGTTCTGAGACAGCATGGCTGGCTCAGGAATTCTGGAAGTTGAAGTTCACAGGTCAGAAAAGGGCCATAGTTTTCCACCCCTGCTCTAAAGCCACCTCCACCAGAGCCCTCCAGATGTGCTGACTACATCTCACATCATGAACAATTACCTGATTACTTTCAGGACTGAGGCGCCCCCCACTGCTAGGGGTCCCAGGCATCTTTGCTACAGAGGTATTGTTTGCCATGGAACTATGAGGAGGAGTATTGCCTGCTTCTGGTTTGATTGAAGAAAAGTTTGATAAATTGATCAAGGTAGACGGACCAAACTGGTTCATAATCTGCTGAGCTTTAGTCTTGAGGTCATACAGCTTATCCAGGTCTTGCTTCTTTTTTGGATTATGTGGACCCAAACCAATCAACTAGAAGAAGAAACAGGTCTCACAGTTAAAAACAATTGAATTGTCAGTATCTTGGACATGTTAACTGAGTTCAGGAACCTGTTACTAAGAAAAGCAACTTATCAGTGAAAATATAGCAAGTATTGTAAACAGCCCATTTCTTAGTTTTTTTTCCTGAACCATAAGTTAGTAGTATATTAATACAGCTCAGGCTGTATTAGTTTACTTTAACACTGCAACTTGTAATACCACATCAAGACCAAATCATGCTGTATGTGTATAATCAAAAATAGTAAGTTCAATATAATCTTTATTACTTCAATTTTAAGAACAAGATCCAAACAGAATAATACACAAAAGAATATTTAGAATATTACTATGTTATTATTTATTATCATGTATTTACTTTATTCAACACACTGTGATAAAAAGACAATGATACTAAGTTTTGGAGGGAGAATCCAGAACTGCTTTCAATATAATCAAATATTTTTTGTCAAAGGAGAACCCATCTGCCATTGAAAGCGAGGAAGGGTATGGAGCTCAAAGCCAGAATAAACTTTAGATTCTCTTTCCTATCCAATACTGGGCAAAGTTTAATTACTTTGCCTCATTCACATTTTGCTAGGAAACTGGTTTGCATAGAAAGCGTTCCCTCTGATTTCTAAATTGATAGGGTAGTTGTAATAACTTCTTATTGAGAGGAAGCATTGTGTTAGATTCAACATGGATTAGTCTCTTCCAGAACTATTTGCATGGCTCTCTCAATATCTATTTCCCAGGAAGCCGTATCTTCTCTCAGGTTTATTTTAAATAAAAAATTTATTTAAATAAAATAACTAAATATTGGCTTTTTCTTCAATCTCACCTATTGGAAAGCTTCACAATTTAGGTTTGTTGCACAGTAAGTAGGTACAATCCAATTTATCATTCATGGATTAACTGTTGTCTTAAAACCAAATTAAAACTAGGTTCTTCTGGGTATGGGATATTTATAAAATATTCAATAGTTCCAACAAGAATAAAATGCTAAAATAGAAATTGATAGAATAAAGCAAACCTAAATTCTAATTTGTACAAAGACTCTGAAAACAGATTTTAGTCACATATTCAATGTCTTGACAATAACACACAGATCATATTCTGTTAATTAACAAGAAAGCAATATATTCTTGCAAAGTTTACCATCAGATTTCAGTCTTGGCAAATGATTAAAATTAAAAAGACACAAACCTTCAGCTTTTCATTATGATTCTAGCATGCCATGCGATGGTCACTTCAAGCCAATTTACTTACAGCTATCTGAGTATCTAGATCTTTAATTACATCAGAAACTGCTGTGGGGCCATTGAATGGAGAGGCCATTTTCAAAAAAGAAAAAAAATGTTCCTGCAAGTAAATAGTCGGAATTAACCTACATAGCAGTTGCTCCCTGGCTGTGAATACTTATCAAATTCTTTCAGAGCATTCTGCATTCCTGCCTCCAGCCTGAAAAATAATAGATACTTTGACATGCAAAAAAAAACCCCACCAGAACCCCTATATCTCCTTTAAAAATGGTCTTATAATCTTGGAGGTTATTGTTCCAAACATTTTGCCAAAGTCAAGGTGACAAGATATCATTGATAACACAAGCATGAATTTACAGAAATCAAAGCAGCAGTTACCAAAAGACAATCTCAGTGATATTATGTTCATCAAGTAATTAAAAGTTCAAAAGTGACTTAACAGCTTTGGTTTGGTACTGGGTGGTTATTATTACTGGGTTTTCTGCATTACTTGAGTAGATGTACATATGGACTATCACAAAATACAGTACCAATAACAATAATGCACTAACACAGGGGTCTCCAACCTTGGCAACTTCAAGACTTGTGGACGTCAATTCCCAGAATTCCCCAGCCAGGAGTTGAAGTCCACAAGTATTAAAGTTGCTAAGGTTGGAGACCTCTGCACTAACACAATTTATTTTTCAAAACACGAACAAGGATAAAAGGCGACATACGGGTGTTTGAAAACAAAGACCTACGAAAGCAGGGGATGCTTGCTGTCAAGAGAAGAGTGGGAAGTCTATTTAAGACAGGGGTCTTCAAATTTGGCCCTTTTATGACTTTATGAACTCCACAAGTCATAAAAGGGCCAAGTTTGAAGACCCCTGATTTAAGAGAACCCGAGTGATGGGGAGGGAGTATTGGGCTGACGGTGTGTGCGCGTGTGCATAAGTTACAGCCCTCCCCCAGCCACGGGAGGTTGGCGGCCAGGCACCCCGCTCAGGCCAGCGTACCTCAAGGTCTATGTGGGGGGGGGGGGAAGAAAAGGAGTTCTTGGGCTACACTTAGATATGGCGCCCACGCCGAACATTAAAGTGGAAACGGGCATCTCCGACTCCTTTTTCTCGTAATTTTAAGCGGGGTTTCATCCCAAGCACCACCACGCTGTTTCTGTCACGGCCGACTCACTCACCGGCGCCTTAGCTTCTCATAGCGTCCGGGTTCCTTGGTCCAGCTGCCAGCCGCCTTCGCCAGGGCTTCGCCGACAGAACACTTCCGGAGTCACGACCGCGAAACCACGGAAGTGTTGGGAAACGCCCCTTTTATCAGCCCCCGCGCCAACTGGCCTGCTCATCCACCAATGGGGAAGTCTCTTTCTGCCCTTCTTTCGTTGGGCGGCCCTGGCTTGACTGCGCAAGCGCCAGAACTCCCGCCGCTAGTGGGAGTTGTAGTTCAAGCGCCCGCAAAGAAGTTTTTCAAGGGTCTTGTTGTGCAAGAAGCGGACTCCGCCAAAGCGCGGGAATAAGATGAGGAAATAAAAGACTCTTGTTCTGCGCCGGTAGACAGCACTGCCCGCTCGCAGCACGTGCCTGCCCAGGAGAACTGTAAATTTTAAGAGGTTCATTTGGGCAAACTAAAATTAGTTATTTTTGGTGAACTTCTTTGGGTTAGTTATTCTTCAGCACATTGTGCCGACTTCAGCTAAGCATTTGTGCGAACAGAGCAGAGAGAAGAATGAGGGACACCAATGGATTTTGCACGAATATCTTGGGAAAGGGAAATAAATACCTGCATTCCTCAAATATAACCCAAGATTTGGAGAAGGGAGATTGCGGTTCCAATTCCAAATGAGCTAGAACTGCGTTCGCACGACCCACTGAATCGCAAACTAGATGAGCCCCTTTTGGTTATGCAGCCCAGGCATGCCATCACTTTATGGTGCAGCCAGCCATACAAATTTAAGAAATGGAGCCCATTCGGCCGTGGGTCAGCGTATTGTGCGAATGCAGTCAGGCTCTGCATTCAGGCTGACTCGAGCTTTCATTCGGAAGGTCCCTGTGCATTAAAGTTAAGTCAACTTTCAAGTGAAAAGAAAAACCAGGAGACAAATATAAATGAACACGATTTACTTTGAAAGGAATTGCCTTGTACTTCAGCGGAACTGATTTATTCCAGCAAAGATACTTTATTTTTTTTCAGTCCGGTCTGGTGTGCCTATTAATTAGCGAAGGTAAATCCCCTCCGCTTCCCGCGCTAAATTTGTATTTGACAGGTCTATCTGAACTCCGAAAACTCACTCCCAGCCCTTCTACCCAGAATTCCGCGCTATTTTTGCATATCGTCTAGAAAAAGAGAAATGTTGCCGTGTTTTAAAATTAAAACGGATTTAGACCGTCGTTAACTACACTTATTACGTCAAATCTCCGTGGAGATGACTAGGGTAGCTGTAATTTGGAACCCTTCTCCCTGTGATCTAAAGAAATGTTGCGGATCAATTGCAGCGGCGTTCGCAAAGCATGCCCTTAAAAAAGGGCTTCTGCTGTGAGTAGCACATGGATGGGGTGGCTGCGGCTCGCTTCTTTCCATGCGGAATCGCTATCAAGAGATTTCGGAAGCATAATTTTTGCGAAGGGGGGTAGCTGGTAATTGCTTGTTCTGGCTCCCCGTTTTACGACTGTTGAATAATAGCTTGTGACTAGTCTGCTTTAAAAGTTGGCTGTAGTTCAGTTTGGCCATTAAATGAAGAGGAACCGTGGGAAAAGTGTGGACGTTGAGAAATATCAAAAAAAGGTTAGATTCACGTCCGAGACCGTCAGTATTGTTCTGCAGTGTGCTATGGTTCATGGGGCGCAACTGAATAACAGCAATCCCTTTTGGAGACTTATTGCCTCATTCCTAGACTGAGAAAAGTGATTTTAGCCCTGGTCCTCACACTTAATGACTGTCAAAAGGGACAACTAGTCCTCACTGTTATCACTCTTGCAGCATCCCCAGAATAATGTCATAAAAATTTGGATGCTGGGCACCTGTTATGCCTTTAGGACATGCAGCGTCCTAGGGTCACATGATCACTGTTTCAATCTTCTGACAAAATCAAATCATTTTATGATTGCATCTGTGTGAACACTAAGCTAGGTAACAGCATCTGTTGGCCTTGAGCTAACTACGGCTGGACTTGGTTAGTACTTGTATTGGAGACCACAAGGGTGTTCCTGGGCTGTAGACTAGTCTGAGGAATTGGAAAAAAAATTCCTGAGGGAGAAAATAACTTCTTTATGTTGGCCGTGAAATATTCTACACTATCAGTGCAGCAAGGGTCCCCAATCCCCAGTCCATGGACCAGTACCGGGCCACACAAACAAGCAAAACTCCATCTGCAGGATTTAGGCAGCAACTAAAACCACGCCCCTTCCAGTCCGTGGGAAAATTTCTCTCCACGAAACTGGTCCCTGGTGCCCAAAAGGTTGGTGATCTCTGACCTACAGTGTTCCTTTGCTACTGGACATGGCGGCAGGGGCTGCAAGGAACTCTTGTTGAACCATATTTGACCACTATTTATAAAGCCATGCATGGCATAGGGCTGGGTTCCCTGTACGACTCCTTATCCTCAACTATTTCTGCCACGCAATACCACAGAGTGGGTATACTCCAGGTCCTTCTAATAAGCATTGTCATCTTATGGAACCTAGGAAGCATGCTTCCTTGTCACAGCCCTCACTCTCTGGACCAGCATCCCCCTGTAATGTTTTTTAGGAATGTCCTTGGGAGGCGAAAGGAAGATACCCTGCCTAGGGAACAATCAGGTAAAAGGAGGGGAAGCCCACAACTGAATAATGGGCAGAGAAAGAAACTCCTAACTTTTCAGGTGGTAAAAAGAGGTGGTGGGGGAGTTGTATTTTCAGACTTGCATGATTCTGTAAATACAGATAGTCCTCAACTTATAACAATTGAGCCCAAAATGTCTGTTGCTAAGTGAGACAGTTGTTCAGTGAGTTTTGCCCCATTTTACAACCTTTCTTGTCACAATTGTTAACTAAATCACTGCAGTTGTTAAATTAGTAACATGGTTGTTAAGTGAATCTGGCTTCCCCATTGACTTTGCTTGTCAGAAGGTCGCAAAAGGTAATCACGTGACCCCAGAATACTGCAACCATCATAAACATGAGTCAATGATCGTATGAAAAACAGTCACAAGTCACTTTTTTCAATGCTTGTAATTTTGAACAGTCACTAAATAAAGTGTTGTAAGTCAAGGACTACCTCTATAGCCTCACAATAAAATAGAATTAGCTTATCCTCTTGTATTTCCTGCATGATCTACTTGGAAGACTGGCAAATATGGCTGTACCCTCCTTTCTAAGACTCTGAAAAACACTAAGACTTGATTTTGGTCTCAGGCCTGGAGTTGATGTGGCTGTGCGGCTTCTGGTTTATCCCTGTTAATGCTTGTTTTAATTGGATTGCCTGCACTGATGTATATTTTAACTGCTTTTATTGTTTGGTATTTGCATCTATGGGAGAGGGCAGCTATATTTAAATATATAACATAGGAGGCCAGAGAATCCCCATTCCTAACCATGTTTCTTTTTCATTACTGTAAAATGCATGTAAGTGTGTATACACTGAAGCACGCTAATGTGAAGTTTAATCACTTTGTGACCTTTTAGTATAAAAGATGCATACCGAGGCATCTTTTGGGAATGCACACAGGTAATGCCAGGTGCAAAGCACTGAGGGATTTACAGGAAGGGCATTTCACTGCTAGGCTGGTTTCTCATATATCTTGTTTTGCATGTGGTTATAAAAGCTGTACAAACCAGCTCCTTGGCACAGATATTCCAACAACATACATACCTATTGTCTGTCCTAGGGAACATGGTATGTTTTCTCCTGTATTTACCTTTAATAAACCTTGTGATGATCACAATGGCTTTCACCTCCTCTTTCTTGGAAATCTTCCCTGGATATTGATCCCTGGAGAGCATTTACATTTGACTATTAAACAGAATGCAAACATCTACTACAGCCAGAGAAATCTTTTTGAGTTTTCATTTCTGAATAGGAGCAAAAATTAAAAACTCAAAGCAGATTTGTTAGTAATAGATGGCAAGGGGAGTATGGAAAAAAAGCAGTAGATTTTTAAAATTTGATTTACAAAGTTTTTTTCAAGGGAATAAGAATAGAAAGTAAGTTTAATGAGCTCTGCTGAATGAAGATTCGCTCTTTTCCTTCAGCTGGGAATCTCATAACATGATGTACTGTACATCTGTTCTTAATATCTGCAAGGCAGCCAAAAGAAATTATAAATGCAATCTACATCCCCACGCCTCATTGTTGTTTTTGGATTACAATGCAGGCAAACAAAGATTGTTGGAATACTTGTCATTCTCATGAGTTTAACAACCTGAGACTTAGTTAGAAAGTTCCCCAGCTTGGGCAGGGAAAGTAAGCATGGATCAAATGAAGGATTGTCCTTTGTAGATGTAATCAGCTGATCCTGTTGTTAGGTAGAGTAAGGCAATGTCCTCAGATGGAAAATCTTAGGAGGTAGCAGTAAGATATATGAGGAGAAAAAATTGGGTTCCTTTGTCTGGTTGTCATGTGTTCTCCAAACCAGTCTAACTGGAAAATACAATTTTATCATCAGTCTCAAAGCTAGATTTAATTCCTCCACCGGTGGACGTTTGCACATCGAGGGAAAGATGGTGACATATTGTTCTTTGCAAAACATCAAGATCATTCTAGGAGCACAGCAAGATGCTGAATGCAGATTTCATAGGAAGAAGGTAAAGGAGTCCCTGAAGATTTTACTCTGTCAGTCATTGCCAATTGTGTGTGGGGGGGTGCTCATCTCCATTTCAAGGCCATTGAGCCAGCGCTATCCAAAGATATTTCCCAAGTCATGTGGCCAGCATGATGTCATGGAGCTCTGTTACCTTCCCACCAAGTGGTACCTATTTATCTACTTGAATGCTTTTGAACTGCTAGGTTAGCAGGAACTGGAGCAAGAAAGGGAGCTCACTCTGTCGCATGGAGCTTGGGTCTCAAATCTGGGCTGCCGACTTCCCAGCCAAAAAGACCAGCGTCTTAACCACTGAGCCACTCGCTGCCCCATAGAAAGAAGGCCACAGTTTTATTTACTGGAGTCTCCTTGCTTAAAAAAGAACTGGGCAGCAATTGGTTGGCCTTACCTTTATCGACAACACTGAAGAACTATGATAGAACATGTCAATTTGAACTTGAAGGAGTGGAGCTTTGGGTCCTTCCCTAAAGCCTTTTTCACAGCAGCCTGATTGGAAGGTTTCCTTCCTGCAGGACTCACAAGGGTTTGTGATAGACAAGTTCATAGGGGGAATTTCTCTGTTGGAAATGGCGGCCCTGAAATGAGGCGGTATCTCCTGGGCTTGGAATCCATTCGCTTGGAGGAGGAGGAGGCGGCAGCGGCAGGCAGCCAAGGTCAGTTTGGCTAGATCTTTCCTGCTGGCTGGTGTCACCTGCTTGGTTGTCCAATTTCTCTGTCAGCCACTGAGTTGGGAAATCATATTGCAGTGAAGATTTGTGGAGCCCCAGTGGAGCTAGAGAGCCCCCCAGTCTTTCAGAGAAAGGGAGCATTTGGACACCGAGGTTCATCCTGCAAGGGCCTCTCCCCAGTTCTGCAGGCTGCTCAACGAAAGGGGTGGCGTACTCCGGTTCCATGGGCAAGGGCTCCGTGTATTCATGCTGCTTGCCTGGAACATCGTAGGGATTCACCACTAGGGGCAGAGTGTAACCTTCGTCCATGGCTGGCTTGAAAGTGGATGGGGCCAACTGGCAGCCAGGGCTGACTTGAACCAGGTCTGGCTCAGCATATTCTGCGAAGAAGAAGGAGAGGGTGAGGGAAGGAGACATTCCTGTAGGAGGATGGAGACATGACTCTGGAAACCCCTGAATGTTCAGGCTTGACTGACATACGGACTCTTCTGCTTTGATCAGATGCACAAGGCTGTTTGCTGGATGTGCTAAAGCAGGGGGTCTCCAATAGCAATAGCACTTAGACTTATATGCTGCTTCACAGTGCTTTACAGCCCTCTCTAAGGGGTTGCAGAGTCAGCATATTGCCCCCAACAACCTGGATCCTCATTTTACTGGCCTCAGAAGGATGGAAGGCTGAGTCAACCTTGAACTCGTGAGACTCGAACTGCTGGCAGCTGGCAGTCAGCAGATGTAGCCTGCAGTACTACATTCTAACTACTGCGCCACCATGGCTCATATTTAGCAATTTTAAGACTTGTAGACTTCAGCTCCCAGAATTCCCCAATCAGTATGGCTTTAAATCACCAACTTTGGAGACCCCTGTGCTAAAGCAAAGAATGAGAGGTTGCTGACCTCCATTCCTTATACCAAACTGACTGGATGAACAGCTGAATGTTATTTCAATATCAGCAATAAGACAACATCTTCCACTGCAGGCAAGAGCGGAAGACAACAAGCCCCTTCTAGCATGGTAGAAAAAAAAAATGCAGCACTTCTTCTGCACTGCCGCAAGTCCTTGCCTTATGATCACAAAAAGCCCAAAATTTCCATTGTTAAAAAAGGCAGTTTTTAGGTAAGTGAGCTTTGCCCCATTTTATGACCCATCCATACTGGCTGGGAAATTCTGGGAGCTGAAATCCACAAGTCTTGATGTTGCCAAATTGAACATCCCTGGTATAGATCCTCCTGAACATATATGGGATTTCACTATGATTCTACACCTTCCAATATTAAGGACAGGAGAAGAGGATACATGATCTCTTAGGTGGCACTAGGAGAAAATACCTGGTGACTGAGCTCCAGTAAGATCTACCGGCGTTGCTGGCCCAGGAAAGGAGGCAATTTCAGAGGCAGACAGTTGCAAGTTCCCCCTGGAACATACCTGGCTGGCTTCTGGTATCAAGTAACCTAAAATGGAATTGCAGGGTCATCTAGAGAAACCAGCAGAAGCTAGAATCCAATGGGCATATTGCAATTAAAGTGATTTTTAAAACATTTTCTGCAAGACTTGCACTGCTTTTCAATCACCATTAATCTCATCTGGTATTTATAAATTCACTTTCCATATACAGATCTTTGTGTATCCAAAGCAGTGTTGTGTATGTTACACATAGGAAAGTGGTGGCAGCTCTATAAAGTCTCAGTATTTTCAGAAATATCAAAGAAGAGAAACAAAATTAAGCTTGTCTTAAATCTGATTTAAGTCTGACTCCTTTTAGGACCCAGTTTCTCCTGCCATCGTTTGCAACATGTGGCTAAAGTTTTGAGTTGGTTTGCCCCACCCCCACAGCAAGGCCAGGTGGTGGGCCCCAAAGAGGCATAGATGGGAGAAAAGGATATCCGGGTGTGTGAGAGTTGCGCCTCCCTCCGCAGTCATAAGTTGTCGAGCACCCAAATTTTGATAATGTGACCATGGGGGGGGGGGGGAATGCAAGAGCCACCATTTTTGGTCATAACTTAAGTCCCTTCATTCAGTGCCATTGTAATTTTGAATGGTTATTAAATGAATAGTTGTAAATCAGGCACTATGAATATATGTGCTATGAACTTCAGTATGCAGATGAATTAATTTTATTGTAGGAAAAAGAGGGACAGTCTGAAACTTGACTTCTAAACAAGGAAATGCAATTAGAGCGGAGTTTACTAGAACATAGCCAATTTTTTTATCACGAGAACTTTGCCTCTTTGTCTGGAGTTTTAGGAAGGGTACTGGAAAAGCTTGTAATATAAATCTATAGATTTAGAGATAATAAAATTTTGAGATAAATAAAATTTTGAATAAAATTCAAAAAAAGAAAGTTTGTTATTTTTATGCATTAAGTATATTATATATATTATACGCAGCCCAAGACTATTTATTTATTTATTTAGATAATTTATATCTAAAGTAAAGTTCCTCTTCACTCAGTGCAGCCCAAGCAAACCAAAAGTTTGGAGAAACCTGAGTTAAAAACAATTTAACTCTGCAGCCAGAAAAAATTTGAAAACCTTTGAATTACAGTTAAAACCCAAACTGGATAGAAGTGACACAGTAAAACAAATATTACAAACTCCTCCGTTGTCCCTCTAATTTGCAACTCCACTTTAGTGCTTTGAACATAAGTCCCCATGGGGCAAATTAAAGGCTTCAGAGAAAGATGTTCTGAGTGTTTATCCACTTTCTGAATTCAAGTGACTCCTTTCAAATACAGCTGTTGCAAAAAAAGCAAAATAAAATCAAGAGGCTGCAAAAAGGAAGAAAAATAAATGGGAAAGTTGGCACAGGCTACAAGGAAGCTGTTCTTCATTTATTGGAGACATGATGTGCTGCACTTTCATATGCCGTCCCAAAGTTGCATGCGGATGTAAGAAGAAAACAAAGCCCTCTTCTCTGTAAATCAATAAAGCAGCTTAAAACACAGAATGATCAGCAAACTTCTAATAAATCCTGGGACATTTCATAAAAAGCCATGGCTTCCTGTGCTGAAATGCAAAGGGCAATTTCGACCATCTGTGTTCAGAAAAGGCAAAAGACAATTTCCAATATGCAAAAGCCTTAGATAAGCAAGTCAGGGTGTCTGCATCAGTTTGGTTTTGTAGGTAGGATCTGCTCATTAACCCGAAACAGGGCAAACCTCCTACTATTTTATTTTAATGCTCTGCATCGTTTGGTGCTTTACCTTTTATAAAGCTGCCATCATTCTGGATTGGTGCCTTCCTGCCAAAGAGAAGAAGGGATGAAAAACAGTTGGGTTGAAAAGTACAGAGTGGATTAGGGTGCCTCTCTGCCAACCTTGTCAACTTTTAGATATCTGGACTTCAACTCCCAGAATTCCCAGGCCAGCCACACTGGCTTGAGTTATTTGCAAAAGTAATAAAGATAGGATGTAAATAAATAAATGGGACTTGCTGGTTTTGAGCTTCACATGATATGTGGACCCATGACTGTGCTCATCTTTGGGGATGAGTTCAGAAAAGTTCCAGGGATAAAGGAGCAAGACTCACCTCTTCTTATAACAGAGAAAGACCAGCAGCAAGACAGTGGCGGCAATCAAAAGTGAACCTCCAGCTAGGAGCACCACCAGTAATGGAGGACCTGCAAAAAGAGTAAATAAATCACCAAAGGCTGCTTCAAGCCCACCTCCCCGCAATATTCTAGGGTTTACCAAGTGCACAAAAACAGGAATCCAGGTTGCTCAAATGAGTATTGGTTTATTCCCTGCTATATCTCAACAGGAATCTGAACTACTATGGTCAAGACAAATTGGCGGTAGATAAGAGTCCATGGAATTCAAGATGAGCTGGACTCTCTTGTGAGTATGAAGGGATTCCAAACTTATGACGTGCTTGACCCCTCCTTCAGGCTCAGCCTGGTCATATCCTACAGGGTTGGATTAATTATGGAGCATGGTTGCTTGCAGTTCAGAGCATACTAGACGTCATGTAAAGGCAAAGGATGATGTGACAGCCTCGTGGGAACCCACAGTTCATTCAATACACCACAATGTTTCATGGCACTAAACTACACCTGGAAAAATGATTTAATTGTTATGATCTGGACTCCATTTATACTCTAAATCAGGCATGTCCAATCCAAGGCCCTGGACAGCTAGTAATATGGCTCACAAGATCATAAACTGTTAACATTATTATGTCATTTTATATTATAAAACTATATTATATATTTTATATACGGCCCAAGACAATTCCTCTTCACTCAGTGCGGCCCAAGGAAGCCAAAAGGTTGGCTATCCATGCTCTAAATCATGGTTACTTAATGATGGCTTAGTGAATGAATCACATTTTGACTGGTAAGCACAATACCTTTAGTCATAAACCATAGTTAGTTCTTCCAGACTATGGTAGCTTATAAATGCTGTTAAATAAATAAAAAATAAATTAAGAAGCATACTAGTTTCTTGGCCAAGTCAACTATTTCAGGATTTAATGTAAAGTATAAATCCATTCTTAGTTTGTTGAGTGGACAGGATCGCAGCCTTTCTGATTACCCGATTTGTTTTTTTTTTGAAAACAAGCAGTTGTTAATTCTTTCCTATTCTACCCTTGCTTATCTTAAAGTTTAATTAAACTATTTCTGGCATTATGAGCAAGAAGTCTTACCTGTTTTTTCTGGATTGATCACTATCCCTGGGATTGTTGTGAAAATGGTTGGGGTGCTGGTCACCCCAAGGAACACCTTTGGGTTATTCTGGCCTGCAAAGAGAATCATTTCAGCCAAGTCTGTTAATGCAAGACAGCACAGGTACTGTCTGCTAAAGCTACCAATCACCTCAATTTCAGAACAAGGACAGGGAAGTTGCAGCCCTCCAAATATTATTGGACACTCTACCTTCAGCCCCATTGTTTTTCTGACGAAGGGTTTGGCATCCAAGCACCCCTACTTTCAGTGCAGCTCTCTGGTTCCAGCTCTGGGGTACAACGCGCAGGTAACGGGCCAGGATGGGTGGGATAAAGGCGTTGGAGACTTCCTGGTAATTGTCACTGTTGCCTTCGAAGATCTGGGATGGTTTCAGTGCAGGAAGGAAGAACAGAGGTCAGCAAAATAAAAGCAACACCCTCACTGTTCAAATGAGGCATAATCTAACACAGCCATCCTTTCCTTTGTGCTCCAGATAAACTAAACCAGGGGTCTTCAAACTTGGCAACTTGTGGACTTCAACTTCCAGAATTCCTCAGCCAGCCAGGGCTGGCTGAGGACTTCTGGGAGTTGAAGTCCACAAGTCATAAAAGGGCCATGTTTGAAGACCTCTGTGCTAAACTATAATCCATGAATTGTAGGTTTTACTTAGAGTGCCACAGAGACTGGATTTTCAATTTCAAAAGCATTTTCAGTTCTTCCTTGGGCTCTACAGTTGCCCTCTCCCTGACCCAAAAGTTGAACGTCCAACCTTTCTCTTTGGCCTTGGATTCTTTTTCTGCTCTTCGCATGAATACAGGTAGTCCTTGACTTACAACAGTTCATTTAATGACCACTCAAAATTACAACAACACTGAAAAAAGTGAATTATGGCTGCTTTTCACACTTACGACCGTTGCAGCACCCCATCATCACATGATCAAAATTCACACGTTAGGCAACTGACTCATATTTATGACAGTTGCCGGATCCTAGGGTCATGTGATCACCTCTTGCAACTTTCTACCAAGCAAAGTCAATGGGGAAACTAGATTCACTTAACAACTGTGTTACTAATTTAACAACTGCAGTGATTCACTTAATAACTGTGGCAAGGACTTCCGGTTCCGGTATGCGGTGACGCTGGTCGCGTCTGGGGACTCGTCTCCAGTCCGGCTGGGTTTTCTGCATTGGTAGACCCCTCAGTGGGTCGAAAGTCGCCCTGGAGGGGCGACCACTGAGAAGAAGTTTTGCTGGTGACCGCGGGACAACGGCAGCTTCTCCCGCAGCTCCAGCTATTTCCGACGGAGCAATGATCGTCCTGCAAGATGGCCGATCATCCTGCTGCACCAGCCGAAGTCACAATTACAGCTAAGTGATACTAGACCCACCGCGGAGGATCCGGGTGAGACCCTTTTTACCCCTTTCTTTCCCTTACCTGTTTTTTTTTTTTTTTTGCCTGTAAAAACTTGGTTGGAACCATTTCCCTGTTTGGAAAAAGCAGCTTCTGTATGTGTGGGAAGAAAGGCGTTGAACAAAAAAAATTTTTTTTAAAAAAAACTACACTCTATTTTCAATCATTTTGGGATACAGAAAAAAATGTTCTTTTGATTTGTATTAGTAACTAATATTGGAAGATTATTTCTTTCTCCACTCTTTCCTTTAAAAGATAGAAAAAAAGGGAAAAAATGGTGTCTGGAAAAGTTTTTTTATTTACTGAGGACATCTAGTGGTGAAAAGTTAATATTGCAACTATTTTTTGGAAAAAAGGACCTGACCTTCAAATTATTTCTGGAAAAGATAAGCTGGTGCAGCTGTGGGAACTGAGGGGGTGGACACTGTTTAATTACAGCCCTCATTAAATAATAATAATGATGATGATGATGATGATGATGAAAGGACTTTCTTTGATCATTTTTAAAATGGAGAAATCCTATTCTCACTTAAATTGCAAGCTTATATTGGAAAAGATCTATGAGGTTTCTGAAGAAATATGTGCTATAAGGAAAAGGATTACTACAGAATGAAGAGTCAACTCTACCCCATACTTTCAAACTGACTTGCAGATCATATCTGTTTATTCTACAAACCAAAACATACCAGAAGAGGAATTAAGGGAGATTAAAGAGGAAATTGCAACAACGCAAGAGACTACCACAGAACTAAGAACCAGATATTCTTCTTTAAAGCTTAAAAGTGACTTTCAGATTATACCTGACTATTCTACAAACCAAAATACATTAAAAGATGACTTTTACAGAGGAACTTATCTCACCCTACAATCATTTTATCTATATTTTTGAGGATCAGAAAAAGCAAAGACTGAGATTTGAACCTTTAAAGCAGCGAGGCTACAAGAATAAGAGAAATGGAGGCCCAATGCAGAGGACAGGAAGCTTACTATTGCCTCAAACGACATCACAAGCAACAAAGAGAGACCTATTGGCTGAAAGGGAAGCATTGTTGTGGAAACCTGCTTGGCAGAAAAAGAAGCCTAGAATAAGACTGAAAAGAGAAATTTAAAATTATATATACTGGATATAAGGCATTTTAGAACTATGGATTGATTTAAGGATTAAGTTTTTGAGTAGAAATAAGAAAAATTGGTGATTATTAGAATATATATATTAAATAAAGTAAGAATGCATGCTTTGGAATAATATGTTTATTTGTATGAAAATTACTATATAATGGAATGAAGAAAAATGAAGAGATGTTCTAGATTGGGATTGAACTAATAATTAATTAAATGTGATTCTAATAAGATGATGTGTTTTGTTTGATAATTTGGATGTTATTAGGTTAGAGAATTAATTGGACAAAATCAGAACCCTGTATAAGGGACTCAAATGATTTAAGGTTGTTATTATTTTGTCAGCTTAAAGCAGTGTTTCTCAACCTTGACAATTTTAAGGCATGTGGACTTCAACTCCCAGAATTGCTGGCTGTGAAATTCTGGGAGTTGAAGTCCACATGCCTTAAAATTGTCAAGGCTGAGAAACACTGGCTTAAAGAAATTGATTGATTGATGGATTAGATATGTATAGGATAGATTAATATTTTAGCTTAACTGAGAAATTTTAGTGGAAGAAGGAATAAACAAGATTTATGATGAAATTAAAGAATTAGGATATATCTGGAAAGGATACTTTAACTGATAATGTGTGTATTTAAAGTTAAATTTCATTATGGTCTTGTAATTGCATAAAATTCTAAAACAGGTTTAGGATTAATAGAAAATTAAGTTAGAAATTATATTTTAAATATTTAAGTTATTAGAGGGAAATAGAGAAGGAATATTTGATGTATTGATTGAGTTACTTACATATGTTTTGTTTTTGGATTGTTGATTACCCCAGCACCACAGTGTGTCTCAAGCACTTTGTATTAAGAATTAAAAACCAATAAAATTTGTTTTTAAAAAAATAACTGTGGCAAGAAAGGTCTTAAAATGGAGCAAAACTCCCTTAACTGTCTGGCTTAGTAACAAAAATGTTGGGCTCAATTGTGGTCATAAATTGAAGACTCCCTGTATTCTCACTACCTCAAAACGTTACACTTTGATACACCAGCTTTAATTTCAATTCAATCTCTCTTGGATTGATCATTTTGCATATCAATCAAATTTGGGATTTTCCATTTTGTATTTGGCTTTTGTTCCAATCTCCTCTGGAAATGTTTTTTTTTCCCCTAAAGTTTTGCACAACTTTTTCCCTTGTTCCGTTCTTGGATATACAATGAAACCTTATTTTAGCAGTCTCCCATTTAGCAGACTTTGGACTCCATGGACATTTTCATTCAGATCTTTCCTCAAAATAATGAGCATAACTATTACATCCAAAGTGACTCAAATGAAGCAAAGATTATCAAAGCTCTCATCATCAGTGATAATTTATGTCATTGTTGCAATAACTCAAATGATGCCATTTATGGTAATTTATATCATTTTCATAATGATGTTATTACCAAGATTACATAAATGGCCACGATGACATACTTTAAAATGTAACAGGTATTTAGAAACAAGGGGCATCCTCTTACTTAATTGGTCCATTAAACTGAGGCACACTGTATATATTTCTGGTCTCATGATCTGATTAGTGCTCAGATTGGTACAATATTCTTTATTGGCCAAGTGTGTTTGGACACACAAGAAATTTGTCTCCAGCGCAGAAGCTCTCAGTGTACACATAAACAACGAAGTAATACAATTATAAGATACCAATCATTGAAGGTAATAGATGAGAAGTATAATAGTAATACAGCCATACTACATGAGTAAATATCTTTAGACATAAGACACTACTATCTCAGAGGCTGCCAAAAAGAAAAGGAAGTCAAGTTATTCTCCAAAGCACCTGAAGGCAGGACAAGAAGCAACAGATGGAAACTAACCAAGGAGAGAAGCAACCTAGAACTAAAGAGAAATTTCCTGACAGTTAGAACAATTAATCAGTGGAACAACCTGCCTCCAGAAGCGGTGAATGCTCCAACACTGGAGGTTTTTAAGAAGAGACTGGACAGCCATTTGTCTGAAATGGTATAGGGTTTCCTGCCTGAGCAGGGGGTTGGACTAGATGACCTCCAAGATCCCTGCCAATTGATGATGATGATGATGATGTGGATATTAGCAGGGTGATGGTACAAGGGAAAAACTGTCTTTGTGTGTGGGAATGATTGCATAGATTTGCTTATAGACTTGCTCCCATACAGTCCTTGACATACCAAAACAGACCATTCCAGCCACGGAACACATCCATCAGCCATTTGGACAGGCTCTGATAAGAACATGGGAAACAGGATGGATGAGTCATCACCCACCTGCACAGCCTTGCATCTGGAAAGTGTCTGCTATGTGATACATTGTAACCGCCCTTGTATACGCCTTTTGATTACGCCGTGTGATGTAAAAACTATTGTAACAATAAAAGAGGGTCTTGGAGTCAGCTCTGGGCTCTCATCCCGAGATACCTACGTGCGTGTCTCATTCTTCATGGGAGACCACCACAACTGGTGACCCCGACGTGATCCACTAAGGGATACGTCCCTGCTGACCCTTTACTTATCACCTGGAATAGGCTTGGTGCACCCGACTACGTTGCTGGCGACTGACTCCTCTTCGTAAGTATGGGGGGGGTGGAATGTCTCACGCTCAAAAGCATCATGTGGAAGAGCTGAGACTACTTGGCAGGAAAAAATATCTTACTGATCAGGAAAAGAAAGTAACCCGTCACCTTTCTAAATCTGAGGCTATTAAATTGTTTGCTTACGTATGGGCTAACTGCTCATCCTATCCAGAGTCTGGATCTTTAAAAGTGAATACATGGAGAAAAATTGGTGCCGTCCTCCATCAGTCTCCGAGAGCCCCACCAGAGATTTTGT